ATGATTCAAAGTGCTTAGATGAACAGTTCTAAAAGTCAAAAGTGGACGAATATAACGGGACGGGGGGAGTAGAAACTTTTGATATACTTTTAAAATTTATAAATTTTATTTTTTTTTTATTTCTACACCAATCTATACCAAAAATGAAGTGAAAAAATTTTGAGCTTTTACTTTATTTTGTGTAATGTATAATTCATTTAGGAACGAGGAGAGAGTATATTTATATTTTAAATTTACGACAATTCTTAAATAAATGAAAATAAGACTAAAATATGGCAATATAGTTTGAAACTTAAATGAATTGGGGAGGCAGGTTGGCAATGGCAGGGGAGGGGTGTGAATGTGTGAAGAAACAAAAAGCATATGGAGACAGAAGAGTACCATACATTAAATAAAGGAAAATGCGAGAGTGCCACCACATGGATGCTACTATGGGTGCACCCATGCTTTGCACAGACAAACACAGACGATAATTATTTGTATCGCACAGATAATTATCGTCTGTGTTTGTTTGTGCGAAGCATGAGTGCACCCATGATAGCACCCATGTGGTGGCACCCTAGCATGGTCCTTAAATAAATGGGAAAACAGTGAGTGTGTAAGCACAATAGAGACAAAATGGGAAGCCACTGCTGCGTCTGCATTAGATCAGAGTCGCTTTTTTGAAACTGTTTGGGTTGGACTTGACTTTGAATGGACCGGAGGTTAAGCTGTCTCTCAAACGTCCCATCTCCTTTTACTTTCTTCCTAATTTAATTTAATGCCCTTCCTTAACCCCAAGCCACCACCTTTCCCAAAGTTCAAATTTGCAACAAAAATAATTATACTAAGAACAATTACCTAAATAGTATTAAAATATAATGACTTTTTCAATGTAGTATCATAATTTTTTTATTTTTCAATGTAATATTGCGGGTCATTATACACTAGTCATTGTTCAAGTAAATGTCTATCGTCACTGGATATTGTTCAAATTAAATGTCTACCATCACTGGACATTGTTTCCGCTACTAGACATTATTCAAATGCTATTTAGGAAAAGAAAAACTTTAAGTACTACATTGAGAAATGACATATGTATTAATACTATTTAGTGCAAATTTTACTTGTACTAAACACAAAGCACTCCTAAGAGCACTGGAAATACTCGTTGAAGCCAAAATTTCTCTCTCTGCCACATCAGCTTTAACTTACCTCACAGATTCAGTGGAAACGAGTTTGAAGCCCCGGGGCTTCATACAGGGGCTTCAAACCTTCATTTTTTACATTTTTAAATATACATCTTCTAAATTTAAATTAATAAATTTTAATTAATTTATTGTTTAAATTAATCAAAAGGAGACTAGTGCATTAAAAAAATTACATTCATTAAAAAAATATTACATTCATAAAAGAATACATTCATAAAAAAAGTTACATTAATTAAAAAAATATTACATCCATAAAAAAACAACACTACAAAGAAATTACTAATTATTCGAGCAACTAAAAATATTTTTATTCAAATCCGAGTTGTAGTAACATATTGTAAACTGAAATAATTCATTAAATAAAAAATAAAGTCAATAAAAAAGTATGTTAAATTTAATAAAAAACAAAAAAAATTACATTACTAAAAAAATTTAAACAAAAAAATATTACATTAAACAACAAAATATAGAGTAAAAAAAATTATGTTTGTGTATATTTTTTTTAAAGAGAGTGGAGGGGAGATTTGAAGCCCGTTAAAGTTTTGAAGTAGAAGGAATGAAGTCCGTATGAAGCCCCAAGAGGGGCGGTATTTGCTGCCCCTTTGGCATTAAAAGGAGCTTTAACGCCCCGGGCGTTACGCCCATTACCAGTGCTCTAAGTACTAAGTGCATGATCTTTTCTTTGTATCGACTAAAGTTTAATATATTTTCCTTCGGGTGAACGTGTTGGGATTCATCTTTTTTAAAAAAGATTACATACCATTATTTAAAAAAAGTTGGGATTGTCTTTGTACTATAAATACTCCCTTCGTCCCATATTTGATGTCACACTCCGAATAATGTACAAAATTCTATCATTTTTAAAATTATTTTAATTAAAAATTAGTATATTAATAAAAAGTATAAATCACATCTTTTAAAAATACATAAAGATTCTATTAAACAAGAGGTGACAAAAATATTTTATTTTATCGAAACATCAATGCAAATATAAAAACAAATAAAAGTTATCGAGATGCCAAAATAGTGACAGTGACATATATTTGAGGATAAAGGGGTATAAAATTTATGATGTCAAATTTTTATTTCAAACTTGATGTGACTGTAGTATGGTTCCTATCATAACAACACCCCTTGGGTATTTCCTCGGTTAGGACTGTGACCCGTGGCAGATCTTAAAATCCAAAATATATAATATGAAATGAAAAAAATAAATTTATTTAAAACATTTATTGAATGCTTATTTTTTAATAGCATCATGAAATTTTATTTTATAAACAATCATTTATATACAATAAAACACACTTTACTCAACAGTACTTTTAATGTCAAATTTAGATGCAATTAGTTTCATAGCAAATTACTCCCTTGTCTTAAAATTTTCTTTCCAGTTCATTTCATGAGGTTTGACTGAAATTATTTTTATTTCAATTTATTTGATTATAGGTATTAAATTAAAAAATAAAATTATATATTTAAAATTAAATCAAAAGTTCTATAAAATAAGAGGTGACATAATTATATTATTTGATCAAATAACTAACGAGAATAGCTAAAAAAGTTATAAAAGTTTGACCATATGAATAATGTCTCGGAAGAAAATTTTAGGACAGATGAACTATGTTATTTTATGGTCCTTATGTTTATGATCGTTTTATAGACCTTGAATTCAAATTATGAGCCAATTGAAAATATGATAAATATAATTATAAATCCACAATAAAAATAGCCTATAGCCTAGTACAATAAAAATAATAGCTATTATTATATTTATACCTTTTTTAATAATTATAAATCCACAATTTCGGCCACTTACCATTTTAACATCACAATTATTTACTTACCTTTCGGTCATTTTATAATTATTATAAATATAATAATTATAATAATTATTACTACAATTTTGGCCACTACAATTATTAACTTACCTTTTTAATTAGTTCCAATTTTTAATACTTAATTATTATATTTATACCTTTCTAAATAATTATAACTTCACAATTTTGGCCACTTACCATTTTAACTTCACAATTATTAACTTACTTTTTGGCCATTTATAATTATTATAAATATAATATTATAATAATTATTACTACAAGTTCGGCCACTACAATTATTAACTTACCTTTTTTAATTATTTCCAATTTTCAATACATTAATTATTATATTTATACATTTTTTTTAATAATTAGAACTTCACAATTTCGGTCACTTACCATTTTAACTTCACAATTATTAACTTACCTTTCGGCCATTTTATAATTATTATAAATATAATAATTATAATAATTATTACTATAATTTCGGCCACTACAATTATTTATTTACTTTTCAACCATTTTAACTTACCTTTCTTTAATTATTATAAATATAATAATTATTACTATAATTTCGGCCACTTACCATTTTAACTTCACAATTGGCAATTGTAATTGTCATACTCTTTGGGAGGGAAAACCATACGTTGGCTCCGTGTCTTTTTAAATAAAGTATTGATGTTTTGTTAGAGTAAAATTTAGGTGTGAAAATATGTTTCTCATGCACCCCACATCTTTCTTGTCATAGCTAATGACAGATGCCGCTGTGTATGTGTCATTTGTTCGTTGGAGTGGACGCCCACCGCAACCATCGTCCACACCAATAGTCGCTGGTCAGAATCGAAATCCATAGCTATAGTCATTGCTCTTGTGTTATCTGCCAAGCCAGCATGACCAGAATACATGGTTGATATAAATTTATACTTTTAGTCTTCAATTTAAAACTAACATAATGAAGATTAAACAAATAAAGAAATATTTGTGAAAAGGTACTCATACACAAATGAAATTTGCTCCAAGCAGCACCAAAGCTTAACACTATTCCCCAAATAGCACCGAACAACTATTTTTTCAAAATTAACATTAAGTTGATTAATTAATTATTAATAATATCTATTTACTAAAACACCATTGTATCTTTTTTCTCCTTTTGATCGACTCTCTCTCCTTGATTCGTCTATGATGGGTGTATTCGTCTATGATGGGTGTATTTCACCGATCAAGTAATTTACACCATCAGCATTCTTACCGGTTAAGGATACTTCAAGAATTACTAGGTTACAGGTGTTTCCATCTACAACCTACCGATAAAAAAAAAAAAGAATACCCCGGTCGGGTATGGGCACAACAGAACTTCGAAAGTTCTACATCCATCGAAAGGCAAGGCAGTTGACCGGTCAAACCATGGAGCGGGAATTCACCGGTCAAAGTAAACTTTACCAAAAGAATTTGTGAAGCTATCCAAAGGGCAAAAGTAAAGTTCGGCCGGTCAAACTTTTTAAGTTGGCCAAAATGATGAAGACGTTCGAAAAGCAAAAATTGAAGTTTAACCGGTCAAAGTTTCTCGGGCTAATCCTTCAGATAAAGTGATCAAAGAGAACTTTGAAGTTCTCCCGGTCAGAAACAATTGAGAAGTGGCCTAATTTATATACCGGTCAGAATTTCTATGATGGTATTCTAAGGAGCAAGATCAAAGTATAAATCAACAAGCAATCAGACGTGGAAGATTAACCGGTACGAAAAGAAAACATGGCATTCAAACGAAATAAGAATGTTAAATGTTTTACAGTTACACCGGGCATTCCTGGGGAAATGAGTTTGAAGTTTTACAAAGAACAACCGGTCTAGGCCGGGGAGATCCTAATCTAAGGGGAAAGGGGGAGTAGGCTCTTCCTCTGGGATAGGAGCCAGGCCGTAGGAAGCCGCAGTGAAGGCCGGGTCTCTCTTCAGGAGGATCCGGTGGGAAGCTGCCCGGTCTTTCTTTTGACCGCACTTGAATCCGAAAGATCCAACGGCGGTGATCATCTTCTTTCCTTCAGGCTCCCGGTATAGAAGCCTGAAGGATTCCATGGTAGCTTCTGGGCTCGCCGTAGAACCCGGGCAGCTTCGGCCTTATTTTCCTCAACCCAGGCGGCTGCGCACCCGGGGAAGTTTTCTTCCTTCTCCGTCATCTCCCTCTTGGCCTCAGAGACTTCATCCATGAGCCGGCCATTCTCCTCCTTCAGCTGGGAGATCTCGGTCTTCATGGACCCGGCTAACCCCGACAGCCTGATCAGCTCATCGGCCTGGCTCTTCAAGATGAGGGCCATCTCCTCCTTCTCCTTCTTCAGCCGGGCAAACTCCGAGGGAGAGCCTAAACCAAGCCGGTCAGCTGTGAGGGGTCCAATCTCCCCCGCCTGCACAAAAGGAAAAATAAGCCCGGTAATATTTGCCAACAATTTAACAAAGGATCAAGACCGGGATAGCAGCAGAACTTACCTTCTTCAGCCTCAGCCCCAGATTGACGAAGGCCTCCTCGATGGTCTGGCCGGCCGGCTCAGGATCTGACCTTGCCCTCTTCTTGGCATAGGAAGGGTGCGTGGTGGCCACCTTCTTCACCCGGCGACCGGCCTTTTCCTTCTCCTTCCCCTTAGACCGGTTGTCTTGGGGCTCATCTTCATCGAGGATTTCCACGGTCTCTGGACTGACCGGGAAGGTCTTGGCAGTATTGGCTTGGGAGCCCCCGGTCTCCCCGGCTGGTTGGTCGTCGGGGATGGCGAACTCTTCAAACTCCATATCTGCAAAACAAACTAAAACCATTAAGTACAAATACTTTGGCCGGTCAACTACGAATCACGAGAAAAATGAAAAGTGCCTGGGTGGGAGTTGCCCTCAGCCTCCGCAGTGTTGCCCGGGGAGGGTACCCCGCGCCCCGCTGCGTCATGGGCCGGGGAGGTACCCTCGCTACCCGATTCGACCCTCCAAACCCAGCTGCTATAATGGAAAGTCCTCCCGGTCGAGCAGATGGTCATTCCATTTCAGACCGGCCAGAGGAGTGAAGAAGGGGGGTAACTCGATGAAAACAAATTTTTCCTTCCATCCCCGAATACTCTGGGGGACTTCGGAAATGAACTTCCTACCGGTACGGGCTTTGAAGAACACAAAGCCTTCGCAGCCGGATCCGCCCGGTAGGACTTCGAAGCAAAAAAGGAAAAGACGCAAAGAGGGGAAGATTTTCAGATGGGTACAAATATTTACGAAGGAATGAAGGTACCGGTGGGCGTTAGGAGTTATTTGACCGGGCAAAATCCTAAACGCATGGCAGACTTTAGTGAGGAGGGGGCGAAGGGGAAAGACTATGCCCGCATCTAGGGAAATGGTATGGAACCCTATCCTATCCTCCCGGTGGGGTTCAACGATATTGGGCCAGTTAGGTTCGTAGAGGAGGGTATACCCATCCGGGAGCCTCCTACGGATTTTGTTTAAGGCAATTTTAGATACACGGGAAGGTATGTCAAGGAAGTAGAAAATGGGAAGCGGAAAGTAACCGGCAGCATGAAGCCGCTCCTCCCACGCATCCCGGGTTTCGTGTTCAGGGTCGTAGGGGCCCGGTTCGTCATCGACCGGGTCATCCCTCCCCACGAAAGTTTCACCGGGCACCTGATTTACAGGATGCGGGTCGGGAATGGAGGAGTTGGGAACCTGACCGGGCGTGGATTCAGGAGAAGAAGACCCGGTCGAGGAAGATGAGTTGGAATCCTCAGAGGAGCAGTCCTCTGAGGACTGCTTGACTCGGAGGGCTGGATAGCGAAAGATAAGGAACTTGACCGGTGAAAGCTCTGAGACGTGATCGCGGAAAGTGAACAAAGAAGAGGGGTGGAGGCCCTTATATAGGAAGAAGAGGGCTGAAGGAAGTGACGTGGCCTCTCCAGGTTGCGCTGCGTCAGGCGGCGCAATGATGACCCACTGGCAGGCGAAACGGCAGGTCTGCAGCCGACTGATTGCAACGGTTGATGCGCGACACGTGGCAAAAGTCAGAGTTTGAAATTCAAATTTCAAAACTTTTAGGCGGGAAGGGCCAAAATTTCAAAATTGGAGTCCTATTTCAGACTTTTTTACTTCCCGCTCATGACAAATTACATGACCGAGAAGTAGAGGGCTTATTGATGGGTGTATTTCACCCACGACCGGTCAAAGGAGAAGGCCAAATCTTTGACCGGTCAATCTCGAAAGTTTTGGAAGGGAGACTTAAATCGTCAGCAAAACGATATATCATCGGCCAAAATAGGACCGGTACACTTCACAAAAACGTATACCGGTCAAACTATGTTATCATCCTATTTATTCCAGACTTCGATGAATTCATCCATCGGAGATTACCCGGTGTAGTTTCTGGGGTTGGAAAGGGTCGGCAGAAGAGGATCTGCGAGGGCTTGGCGTGTAGCGACCCGTGTCAGTAGAGGACAACTGGAGATGCTGAAGAATCCATCCAAGGCGCTACTCGACATAGGGAATGATCCCCCTCACAAGGCGATAAGGCAGCTCGAGGACGAAACCAGTCACCTCGCACCACATCAGCAGCGTGCCCCCACGTGGGCGCACGTGGTCCTGTCCCCTTAGCCTAGTATAAATATTCGTGTAAGCCTCAGAAAGAGGGATCCGAATTCATTCTCTCTAAACTCCCTTGTAAAAGCACCCGTGCGTTCTCCGTTATAATATAAATTGGGCTACAGGTGTTCCACCTAAAGTCCTACCGGTCAATCTGTGTGTTTTTACCTTTCTTACTTTGCCAAATCAAGCAAACTATTCTAGACCCGGTCTAGTATAGTTTGACCGGTCAAGTAATTTACACCATCAGTCTACATATATTTTCCTTTTGATGGAAATTGTAAAAATTATGAACATTATTCACTAATTCGGGACATTGTAAAAATTATATGCATCAGATATTATAAAATTTATGGACATTGTCTACTAACTGGAGACATTGATGGCTAATGCAGCAGATATATATAATTGCGACAATGTCTTTTTTAACTGACTATGTCTTGGCAATGAACATGTAGACATTATCAACCACACAAAGACATTATTAAAATGAAAATATGGAAGTCATTACATCATGTATAATGGATATTTAGGGAGTGGCGGTGGGCACTGATGTTAGCATTTTGTGATCGACATTTGTCGAAGGACACTAGGACGAGATAGAGCAATAAAATATAAAAATATATAATGGTTATTTTAGCATACTAAAATTAATAATTATTTAATTAGAATCTAGTTATGAAAATTGAAACTTATGGTGCTATATAGGAAAATTCACTAAATTTTAGCGTTATTTAAGTAAATTTCTCCATAAACAAAGAACCCCCAAGATAATATTTTGTAATAGATGATTAAATATGAAAAAGCTTCTCTTTTAAATGAGGTTAGTTCTAATATGTATAACTTGTTGGATTTAGTTAAGGAAGAACACTGCGAAGCAGTGTTAAAAGAAGAATTTGATAGTATAACGAATTGCGTACGAAACACTTTCAGATCAAAGTTATTTCGGGGTATACGAAATACTTCAATCGGATAAGGCGTTAATCAAGAACGAGCACTCGAGAATCGGTACCCCAATCCATACCACGAGACTCTATTTTATAGAGTCAAAAATTTCTATGATCGGACATGAACCTTCGCGTAGACATACGCGTACGTTCGCGCGGAGAAGAAGAAAGGCGCGAGTTTGAACGAGGAGTCTCCTACGGTTTTGGGGTGCATTTCAACGTTTATCCACTAGTTCGAGTCCTTTACTGTTTTGGACTCTGAACACGAAAATCTTAAGGATTTTCATAAAGAAACAACGTCCGAAATAACGGCCAGGGGCTCTGCCCCTTTGACCCCGCCAGGGGCTGCCGCCCCTTGGACCCCGCTACCCGGGGGGTGCCGCCCCTGGACCCCCGCAGTGAATTTGTAATATCGTTGATCGAGCGCTCACTCCGCGCCTCCTAACTCGTTTGACAACTCTATTTAAATTCTTGTCCGATCTAACTAAATCCAATTACACAAAATAAACCGATGACACTAAAATCACCAACATAACTTTAGAGCATCACAAATCCTCCTTTCTCTTTAATACTATTTGATAATAATTAGTCTTATTGAATTATGAACAGTATATCTCTATTTATAGGAATTACATAAGAGAGTTCGAATCCAAGTAGAAAAAAGAATAAAGTAAACAAATACAATAAAAAATCAAATAAATAAGGAAAGAAATTAAATAATAATAATCTATTTCCTAATATCCCCCCGCAAGATGATCAGAGGAGGCCAGGGGCAGCTTGGAGCATAAGTACTCGAATGGAACTTGCGGAAGCGACTTCGTGAGAATGTCTGCTAATTGTTCTAAAGAAGAAACATGATGTATAGTCATAGTGCATGCCATGACTACATCTCGTACAAATTAGAGCATTCACAATGGTAAGGCAATGCCTTGCCATGCCATGCCATATCAGCAGATTCAACTTAAATCATGGCATTCCATGACCATTCCACCACACTTTCCATTCCATGTGCATGGCATGACTCTCTCATTTTTTATTTTTATAAATATTTTTAGTATTTGTAATTTTTGAAAAAAATATTTTTTAAAAGAAGTAAACATATTTTAATAATAAAATATATTTTTAAAATAATTTTTTATAATTAAAAATCATTAAAAAGTGCAAAAATAGACAAAAACAACGACTTGCCACTGTATGTTACGACACTCCATTCATTTGCCACACGGTGACTGGGTTACTTTTTATTGGTTGAAATAATCCATGTCAACGTGTGACATTTCATTTTTGCCTTGCCATTGTCAATGCTCTTAAAGTGACAATCTGAACCAACATGATTTATACAATTATGGAGAACTGATTTTTTACCGATACAAACAAAAGTGCCCGCAACTGATGAAAAAGAAAATGCGAGATATATTTAGGGACAGAAGGAGTAAATAAATTTTCAGGGGAAAAAAGGGGGTTCAAAAAGCACACTATTTTGCTGCAGATTTGGTGCAAAAGTGGGGGGAAATGTGAGCCTTCAAATGTGTTTTTGCAATTGGCTTTTGGTCTGTATCTTTTCCCCCCCACTGTCTCATTCTTTGCTTTTCCAGAACAGCGTGCGCTTCAATCCTTCCTTTTCATGGTTTTGCAGAGAAACAACTAACAAATGAAAAAAAGGGGAGTGAAAAACAAGGCAAAGAAAAAAATATCGGCCCAAAATGATGATTTTAAAGAGATACTCCGGGTAAAATAATTGGTCCCAATTGAGATATTCATGGTGTCCGGTTCGTAAAACTGATGGGTCGTGACGTTTCTTAATTCCTAGTAAAAATTCCACCCGCCCGACTTGAACCCAAATTTAGTTGACTTTAAAGTAAAAAAATTTGACATCAAAGTCAACTAAATTTGGAGGTGGAGGTTAGGTTCGGCTCGGAGTGGGGTATTCGCTGGGAGGTTAGGAGGGTAGGAACCACTAATGTCATCCCATGACATTGACACTCCTTTGGATGATAAGAAAATGGAGAGAACATTGGTAAGAAAATACATTTTTCTAAAAATTTTGTCTGGTTAGAAGTGAAATTTGCACTAAATAGTACTACTAAAATATATACTCGTATCATTTTTTAATGTAATACTTAAACTTTTTTATTCTCTAAATAGTACTTAAATAATGTCTAGTGACAGAAACAATGTCCAGTGATAGTGAACATTTAGTTTGAACAATGTCCAGTGGTGGTAGAAATTTGCTTAAACAATGACCAGTGGTACAACATTAGAAAATAAAAATATATGGTCTCACATTGAGAAAATCACTAAGTTTTAGTACTCCCTCCGTCCTAAAAATTTCTTCCCAGAGCATTATTCCAACTGCACGGGAATTTATATTTATTTGTGTTTTTTCATGGCCTATATGATAAAATAAAATATTCTTGTCACCACTTGTTTTGTAGAACTTTTGATGTAGTTTTTAAATATGTATGTTTTATTTTTTATTTCTATACCAATATTTAAATAAAATAGATTGAAAAAACTTGAAATTTTTCTTCGTTTTGCGCAACGGGAAGAAAGATATAGTACGGACGGAGTACCATTTAAGTAAATTTCCCTAATCAGAATTGGTTTGCAAAGAAAACAGTGATGAAACAAAATTTAACTTCTCGCCTACCTTGGTGATAAAACTTCTCTCTTTTCTCTCCATTTTTCATGAATTTTTATAAATCCAAACACTAACATTTTTTCTCTTCATTTTTTTCGCTTTTTCATTTTTCTCATTTTCTCTTCGAGTGAAACCCAATGTGGTTGTGTGTGAGAACTGGGCCGAGAATAACCATTATTAGTGATAGAAAAGGATAGTCAACAATTAAAGGGATTGTTATAAACTTTACATTGCGCGTTATGATGTTTGGCTGAAGTTATTTTCAAATCATTTTATATGAAAAATGGTGTAGAATTGAAAAATAAAAATTACATATTAAAAAACTATATCAAAAGATTTCCAAAACTAGAGGTGACATGACTATATTATTTTATCAAATAGGTGACGAAAATAGGCCAACAAAGTGAATAAAGTTTGACCCCGTGAATAGTGAACGTAAAGTTTATTTGTGGACGGAGGGAGTAAATTCAAAATTTGTTTAGACTTCAGCATTTACCTACAAAAAGTTTGATATCAAAAGATAATGGAAATCATATCTTATATGCAGATGTGCTTACTAATCGTCTAATATAACCCCTAGTTGAGATTTAAATACTTCTTTCGGTCGTATTTAATTGATAATCATGATTTTAAAACATGAATAAATGAATAAATAATAATATGCTCCGTATATCATACTCCTTCCGTCCACAAATAAAGTTCCCATTGCGCATTACGATGTTTGACTGAAATTATTTTCAAATCATTTTATATCAAAAATGGTATGAAATTAAAAAACAAAAATTACATATTTAAAAACTACATGAAAAGATCTACAAAACTAGAGGTGACATGACTATATTATTTTATCAAATAAGACACAAAAATAGGTCAATAAAATGAATAAAGTTTGATCATGTGAATAGTAAATGAAAACTTTAATGTTGGACGGAGGGGTATCTAGATTAATTCAATTTTTAATATAAAAGTACAATTCTTTTTAATTAATCAGTTAATTGTGCATGGGAAGTGTTTTTTTTCATAACAAGAAGATCTTTATTGTATCATGAACAAAATCTTTTAAAATCATGACGCCTACTTTGGACTTCCCTCCCGAGTTGTACAAATTGCTGCCGCCCACCACATTTAATATACGCCTTCCACATTAAAATGCACTGAATAAAATTTCCCCGTCTTTTTCCAAATAAATTGTTCCTTCTTCTTTAATACTACCTCCGTCCCACTCTCTTTGTCCACTTTTGACTTTTGAAATTGTTTATCTAAGCACTTTGACTCATCAAATTTTCTCAATGTGTAAGCCTAAATATAGTCATGTGTGATCTTGTTTGATTTGTCTTAACATATAGATTATTAATATATAATTTCTATAATTTTTTAATATACAAATTACAAGATAAAATGGATTAAA